TATAGAATAGCATTTTCTGTCAATATTATATGAAAGGTAGTAATGGTTGGCTTGAAGTAGAACACATGAGGTTTGAAAAATATTTTCTTTATAAAAAAAGGAACAAACAATGAAAAATAAATTAATGTACATATAAACAAATGAAAAGGAGCTTGCTTGGAGGAGGTGCGGTGGAAGAGGAAAGGGACACATGTCTGTTTCCTCCCCTGCAAAAGGTGTCACCTTAGGTAAAAAAAACGGTGTACTGGCCAATGGTTCCAAATTAAGCAGAACGGTGCTGCTTTCATATAAAAGTTGGTACATTTTGAATTTCACAAATTCTTTTGACTCTGGTGCCACCCTTTGCAGGAGAGGAAAGAGAGAGAGCAGGAACTGATGGTCTTCTGTGTAGTCGGGCGGTGCGGCTGCTTTGGTCCGTAGAGTCTCCAGCAGCTCCCGCTCCCACTCTGAAGGCCCACCAAGGAAGAGGGCTCGGAAGAGGCCCACGTCCGTAGAGCCGCCAACAAAGAACACAGGGCAATCACAGTGTTAAAAAGTGGAACATGTATTTCAAAAAAGCAAAATGAAGAGAGCAAATAATATCTGTATTAAAGCCAGAGTGTGTAGACATAGTTAAACACATGTAAAACACTTTTAAGTTGTGTGTTTGTTACAATTAACTTGAACATTGCAGTTATCAATGAAATTACTCACACAAGCACAAATTTCGACAGTTACAAACTAATATCTCTGAAGTGTATTTCGCAATGAAATTTGAAATTGGCTGTTAAAAAAGTAATACTCTATTGTCTGCATTAAACAGGATAGCTGCCATCTTGTGGCAACCATTGCATGTATTTGTTCAGTACTTTTATAGCATAAGGTTTTTCAGTAGTATGTTTTTATCGAAGAAAGAGGGAAGATGTGTTGTATCAGACCAAAGCTTCTTTCCACCTGTAGTGCCTTGACATCTTGTCGTTTCTCTGTAAATTTGTCGTCTTACACTGATGTAACAGCCCTTGGGTAATTTTGGCATATTATGCAGTAACATTTTGTTTATATGAACAGTCCTGTAATAAGAATAAAAATATAACAATGATTAAAAAAAGCCACACCTGTAGGTGCAGAAGCAGGGGAAGGTCCAGCCCTCACAGAAGAAGAACCGGCTGAGGAAGAAGCAGCAGCAGCAGCAGCAGCAGCAGCAGGCCAAGATGTCTCACCTTTGTGGTGGTGGCAGTATCTGTGCCAGAAGAAAACAAGAAATACAATTATTTCATATCATGTGTACATTGCGCTTATGACATTTATATGTACATAATAATGTACATTATTATTTACATTTAAATGATTTGTTCATATGAAAGGGAAAAGTGAAATTTAACACAACACATGATCAAGATCTATCCTGGTTTTATCCCGGAGCTGTCACGGGGAGTGATGTAGGGCTCGAGGAAGGACATGACCACAAGGTACTTCCACGTCTGGCCTTTCCCTGCTTCTGCACCACTCTTCTTCACATTCTCCTTCTCCTTCCTGCTCTCCTTAGCATATGTGTCCCTCAGATTCTTCCACCGCTTTTTGCAAACTTCCACTGAATAAACACATCAACTCGTAAGCAGGAAAGTAGTAGTTTTTTTCGCGGGGAAATATTTACAACAGTGAAAAGTTAAAATAACTTACCCGAGACACCAACCACCTCGCTAACCCTCCTCCAAGCAAGCTCCTTTTTATTTCGGTCCCGGTAGCTGTGGTCCGCAGTGTTATATAGCTCAGAATGAGCACCGACCTGAGCAATTGACGTGTTCTCCATAGCTGTCATCTACCAGTGTTTTTCCGGTAGTGAAATGCGTCACTACGTCACTGGAGGAGAAAGCTCCTGATTGGTCGGCACACGCGAATTCTCCCAAAAAGTTCAACATTGTTCAACTCTAGCGGCGGCCGCGTTGGAGGCACGAATCGCGCGAAACGCGCGTCAAAACGCTTGACATCTCAAAACTCGCCGCGCGAATCGCGCAAAACGCTCGAATTCGCGCCGCTCTGGCCGCGCAAATCGCGCCGCGTGATCTCTCGCCGCTCCTTGGCGCGCGTCCCCCATGTTGTGTCAATGTAGACCCGCCGCTTTGGCCGCAGAAATCGCGTTTGGTCTGAACGCACCATTAGAGTTCTACACAATCATCAATCTGGCTTTTGCCAGGTTAGATTTAAAGTACTAATTACCAATAGAGATATCTCACGTGACGTCACGATGCCTCGAACTCGCGGGGCATCCGCCATACTGGAGGACAAGCAAACGCTGTATGATAGTGGCGTGCACCCGGTACTGCATAAACATGTTCAACATTTTTGCCGTTTTTGGCTGCAGCAAAAGGAGAGACAGGGAAAATAAGTTGTGTTACCGACTGCCAGCCGTCCTTACTTCACACGGCTCAAAAACAGAAGAAATCTCAAAGAAACGAGAGAGAAATGGCACAACATATTCGCAACAACAAAAAACTAAAAGCCACCAGAGCGCCCGAATATGCTCGGATCATTTCATTTCTGTTAAGTAAAATCAATTTGATGGCGGATTTAGTGTTATTCCGAAACTAAAAGAAGTTTAAGGATAAAACATATCTGTCTGACTGCAACGTGGGGATGCTCCATAGACTGTAGCTTAGCTTGTAGCATAGACTGTAGCTTAGCTTGTAGCATAGACTGTAGCTTAGCTTGTAGCATAGACTGTAGCTTAGCTTGTAGCATAGACTGTAGCTTAGCTTGTAGCATAGACTGTAGCTTAGCTTGTAGCATAGACTGTAGCTTAGCTTGTATCTTAGCTGTTCACAGGGTATCTGACTTACCGAAGGCCAGCAGACATGTGAACAACTGAGCCGTGCTCCAGGGTGCCCCGTGCTAGTATTTATTAATAAAATATACGGCTCCTCACAGTAGACGCAGAAAGCTCCATTGATTTGAATGTAATCTCATTATTTCCACTGCAGTGTAGCCACACATAGATCCATGGTGTAACAATAAACACATTAAATGTTAATCGAAGAATACATTATACATATACATTCTTAATACACGTGCACAGAGGTTTTCAGAATTTTCCGTTCATGAAAAAACACTGTTTTAATGCGACAATATGCGACCGCGGTAAACCTGGATGTAACGATAAACATTAATAATACATTGTATGACACATTTTCAGAGGATCTGATTCATGAATTTAGGTTGAGTATATATTTGGGTCACTAACTGCTGAAGTTACAAATGCTATGTTCAGTTTTCATGTAGTTCGAGAGAGTTCTAGTTTTGAACGTCCAGTTATAGATAGCTAGCAGGGCTGTTACTCGCCGAGGTTGTCCTCCAGTATGGCTGCCGTGGCTGCTGGTCACGTGACCGTAGGATCCCTCTATACACAGAATACATCATTTGCATTGTGTAAAGAACGAGTCTTTTCCCCCACGTGTACATTATACCAGGTGTTTTAATTATGGCTCTTTTTTTCCTCTTTTTTTAAGTTGTACGTGTTGAGTAAGTTTGAGCCATACAGTATGGTTTAACACTAAGCGAAGTTATCATCGCAATGTTAACAGTTCAAACGTTAATATTATACTACAATTGATTAATTTATAAACATTTTCGCCACTTACCTCAAACGGTGACAGTGAAGTTGTGTGGAGTAAATATCAAAATAATGAAAAAACCATCGAAAACAAACGGCGAACAACGAGCGCTTGTGATTGGTCAGATTCATTTGTCACTTCCTGGTTTGGACCAATCGTTTACTCGATGGGGTTTTAACTTTTGAAAATGTCCCAAACCACATTTTAAACCACATAAATGTACAATATATAAATTTATAGTAGTTTTTTTACATCGTGTATCTTGAACACTACTGACTTAATCTTTTAAAATTGGGGTTTCATTTAAAAAGAAATTGTGTGGTCTCCCCCTGTTGTCACATAGTGGTACGTCTCTGTTAATAAACTCCACTCTGGTCAAGGAAGCTGCTCTAAAACTGGATGTTTTTAAAGAAATGCGACGTTTAATACATGATCTGGCTTAATTTGTATGTGGATAGCTTGTTCTTGCACAGTTTTTTCCTAAGAGGCTGCATCAGGTTTGTGAAATAAGACAATTTTTTAGGCTTTTATCCGATGGGCGTGTATTGAGAGCATCGTATACGGCTGAGTTGTGGTAGCATGCACACATACCGTAAGACAGGTGTATTAGCTGATTTATAAACATTGTGCAGCTAATAGTTAACAAAAGGGTAAGATATTAAGGGAAACGTAGTGAAAACATTGCCAAGGTTATCTGTAAGGAAAGCTAACTACCCATTGCTTCACGTGTTGGTGATGGATTTACCACAACGACTGCATTATTTAAGTGTAATGTTTATTATTTAACCTGGAAACTCGGTGCAAACACGATGGCGGGTGTTTGCACCGAATGTGAAACTATTGACTTTGGACAACTGAGCAGCAAGGTATATATTGCAAGTTAATGTCACTATGCAGCAAAGCCATTCGTATTAGCAAACAATATAATACATAACCTAAAGCATCTTGGTTTTTACTTTTGCTGCAAAGATCAGACTAGTGACATCATAAAATCAAAGTTGATGTAGCAGTAGACTAATCAACAGAACCTAAAAGTAGCTTGATATAGCCATCCATTGACCATTGACCATTCATTACATCAACACAGAAGCTACCATTAATTTATAATGGAAATTATAATTTTTTGGATCGTAAGACACTCTTTACTTTCCCACCAGTTCACCCACACGCATACAGTACATCACTCACTCATCATTGTGATTTATAAAACAAGAACAGGTTGAAATAGTGTTATTTATATTCTAGTATATGTTCTAGTCTTATTTTGGGGTTAGATACAAAGCAACAAACTTGTATCTCATTGATAATTGTGGCTAAAGAATTGTGTTTATTTCCCAGATTGTAGTCTCCCATCCCTGTGTGCTGCTCCAGCCGTTTCACTGCATCTGTGGAAGAGAGTTGTGAGTATCGCCAATGCCAAACACATCAGAACCCCCGGCTCCGCCCCTTCCCGGGTCTGGACAGAGGACTTCAAACGCGGGACAGGACCCACTGCTCAGCCCTTTGTCCCGAGACCTTTCCAGAGCGAGGCGAGCTTCGAGCGCAGAGCTGCTCCTGCCGTGGAGCTGTCCCGTCACACACTCCAGGGAGAAGTTTTACACAGTCTGCTCGGATTACGCCTTTCTGAACCAGGCTGCTGCTATCTACCCCAACATCGGCAGTAGGACCGGAGCATCGCTGAACCCGGTGGATGAGCCCAACCTCAAGTCCAAACCATCACAGGTACAAAACAGATACTTACAGATGATGAGTTTCTCCATCCAAGAATATGAAGTATTTTTTGCTTGCTTCTTTATTTCGCTTAAGTCAGAGTTGTTATGCTTAATTCTTGATTATTTTTTATGCTAATGCTAGAGATTTTTTACTTGTTTATTCTGCTAAAGTTGGAGATTTTATCATATTTTAATATAGAGTTATTCATTTATCTGATGCTGTGTGCTCCTTATTCCTACTATTCTGTAACTGGTGATGCAACACTGACATTTCCCCACGCTGGGACAAATAAAGGATCTCTTAATCTTGATCAAAATCTCACAGTTCTGTGTGAGTTGATTTAGGGCAGGGATTAAAGAGTTCCGTCTAGGTGACGGATTTCCGTCAAATGAAATTGGTCTGGAGAAAAAAAAATATATATATATAATGATAATAATACACACAATGAAATGATTGATTATAAAAATAATATATAGTAATACATATACGTGTGAATCTGTTATATATATATCGATGTATAATAATAATTTGAATATAATTGTATTTATATGTATATAGAAATAATAAGTAATATAATGACGAGTGGGCCTTGAACGTGCCGTGGCCACATGAGCGCTCCGCAAATGAATCAAGGCAATGGGACGTAGCTGAGCTCACGCGCAAATGAAGACGCGATGAAGTTAGCATTGGTAACACGGAGGTGAAAGTTTCTGGAAACTGCACGGAGCTTTTGAAAAGGAGAAGAGGAGGAAAATTGAATCTCGAACGGAGCGATAACAGCAGCAGATCCGCGGACTGGTAAGCTGGGCGCGTAATAGACGAAAGGTAATTAACGTTTACCAAACGCAATGCTATTTTACTTAACGGAATGTACAAAACGGACTTTGCTGCAACTGGGAATGGGTCACAAACATGTCTTGGTGAGCTTTTGATATTGTCTTATTTGCGATCTTCTTGCAAAACTCAGCGTGATGTAAAAGAGCCAATCAATGAGTCATGGTGCGAAAAGATGAAAGTGGCCGGTTCTTGTGCGTACTTTGCCATAAAAAATTGCATATATGGGAGTAATGAGAAAAAAGTTTTGATTCGCCACCAGCTCAAAACTGCGCACAAGGCAGCTGTTTGAGCACTTTCCCACACTTCATCTTTACCTGGTGCATCAGCAACAACTGACACTAGGCTTGCTCTGGCGGACCGTGTCTGTGGCTTTATCGCAGAAAATAACGTTCAGAATATCACTACCGCTGGTAGATTTATTTAAATCATTTGCAGTTGATCGAAGTGCACTGTGCACTCAAACTTGATAGGGAAACCTTTTTCTTAAATATTGACGTGTCCACAAACAAATGTGGACAGAATTGTATCGTCCTTTTGCGATATTTTGACGAGGACAGAGCCAAAGTGTTGACGCTCCATATCGCCTCAAGTAAAGCTACTCTCACTAATGTTCTGTCAAAAAGTTTACTCGTTGCTTGATCCACTTATATTTCATATCAAAATACACTGTATATCTTTGAAGAATTCATTTGAGCTGTATTCAATATACAATCTATTATACAATAATATATTGTAATTAAAAATATAACTTGGTCCTGCATATTACTGTGATTTACATGTGATAAATTTACATGCAATAATTTTCAGTCAAATCTTTTTTTTGCTTTAACCCCTGGACTTAGGGAGATGAGTGGGCCAGTTTACACTTGTTTGGTGCCTTCACATCTCCCCAGAAGAAGATACTTTTTGCTCCAAGTGAATTCAAGTTTGGTTGAGTAAAATCTCAAGGCCTAAAAGGCATCGCAGCTCCAGACTCCATGCCTCCTCAGTTTTGGCTTCTGTCCAACCAAAGTTTGTATATTAGTTATAAATGAAATCTGATATTGGTATATAGTGATTACACAATGGCAGGATTCCCCCAGAATCCGGCAATGTCTACTCTCGTCTTCAGCCAGACACAGTTGATAAACTGGTTAAAGATAAATGAGTTTATTCATATTTGGATTGAGATAAAAACATTTACATATTTACGTGTACATAATCACTTCACGTCTTGGAAACTTTCATAGACTAAAGTTATGGTTTCATTCATTCAGAGCAGAGCAGGGGAATCGGACGAGGACTGCAATATGGAGGAAACAGCCACCAACACAAAACCCATTCTGGCCTGGGAAATCGACACCTCCGACTTCAGAGCTGTGCCCACCAGAAAACTCAGAACAAGTAAGAGGAATGTGTAGTTCTGCTGTGGCCTCAGGGCTGGTGTGTGACGGGAGCAGAACTAGACTACCACGTCTCATTCATTTTAGTAATATATAAAGTATTAAGAGTTGAAAGACATGATAGAGGCGAACTAGCTGTGTGGCAACTACTTTTCACAATGCGGTTGATTTCAGACCAAAAAGTTAGGTTCAAATTCTACAAATAATTAATGTATTTTAGTAGTTCCTAATGTTTCAGAAACAGAAAATATATATGTATATTCACCGCAAAGCAAGCTTTCAAACCTGTTTTTCTTCTTGTGTTCCTAAGGGAATAGGTCTTCACTTTACAAATCACACGTAATTTGTTCCTTGGGAGACAACCTACAACACCTCCATAAAAAAATAAAAATAAATGCTGGGTATATTTTGTTTTATTTATGGATCATTGGGAACCACGTTCTTGTTCAGTGCCAACAAAAGCCCAGAGATGGACTAGAATATAAAATGCTGTGCCAGAGATAGAACTTCCTCATGTACTAAAAGTCTGTTCTAACATTAAACTCGCTGTGTTTCAGGTAATGTGAAAAAGTCAAGCACAAAAAAGATGAAGTCATCCGTTCGACCAATCAGGAACTTGCAGGAAATCTCTCCTCATGCCTCATTGGACGAGGTCAAACAGAGGAAAGTGCTGGACCTCAGGAGATGGTGAGTGTCTGCTCCTGTCTGTGCAAGTATTTCTATAAAAGAAAGAAAATCAAACGCAACATTCTAGATGAACTTTGTGATAATCCGAGATAATCCCTCAGATCAGCTCGCCCTCCACTTGTATGAGTTTGAGCCTTTTGTTTTCAGGTACTGCATCAGTCGGCCTCAGTACAAGACCTCGTGTGGGATCTCGTCTTTGGTGTCCTGCTGGAACTTCCTCTACAGCACTTTGGGAGCCGGCAGGTCAGTGGAGAGGGAACCACATCCAGAGGAACCACGCACTTTTGTTCCATTTTGTTGCGCTCACACTGAAAAAAGAACTGAAACTGGTTTTGACCACATCTGTCTGCGGAAACATGCAAATATTATGTCATTTGTTGTAGTTAATTTAGTTTTCACCTCAGTTAGTTTATTTAAACCAAGTCACTGAAATACAACCAGCTAACAAGAAGGCTAGCAAGAAGGTCCTTGGTTCGATTCCACCTCCAGACCTTTCTGTGTTAAATTTGCATGTTCTCCCTGTGTGTGCGTAGGTTTCCTCTGGGTGTTCCTGTTACTCCTAGCTCTAAAACATGGTGGTACATTGGTATGAATGTAATAAGCGAATGAATGGTGATGATCAGAGACTTTGTTCGGCATCTCGCTTCTCTCACTTTAGAAAGTCGACGCATTAAATATATACATTTTCAATTCAATTTGTTCTCGTATAGCCCTATATCACAACAGTGCTTATCTCGGAGGACTTAACAAAGGACAAAAACGTTGATTCAACACAGATCAGAGAATCAAGCAGTTCACACAAAATAAATGTATTGATAGAAACATATAGAGCTATTGGTCCGTAAAGTGGCGGATGACCAATGTCCATAAATGTTGTTGAATGTCGAGTGTCCTGCATCCTCACCACTGTCCTTAGACCCTTCTTCTTTGATTCTAAAACAGTCTGATGAATGAAGACAGATATCATGTCACATAAAACGAAAACAATAATCCAAATCTATTCTAGAAACTTTAATTAGCCGATATCTCAGACCCATATTTTCAGTTTTTTAAGTGGCATATGTAGCAACAATAACAAAAGTCTTATGGGAAGGTTTGTGAGAGCTGATATTGTGAGAAATAACCTCATTCATTTTTTTTCATAGTCTGCCACCAATATCTCAAGAAGAAGCCCTGCATATTTTGGGATTTCAACCTCCTTTCGAAGAGATCAAGTTTGGGCCTTTCACCGGGAACGCTACTTTAATGCGGTTTGTTTTAGCGCCTGGAAAAGTCACATACACCTTTTATTTTTAATGTTTTCCTGATGGGGAACTCTTCTCTTTCTTCTCAGCTGGTTCAGACAAATCAATGACTACTTCAGATTGAGAGGCTGCTCCTACATTTTGTACAAACCTCACGGGAAACACAAGACGGCAGGGGAGACCGGTGAGTTAACCCAGCTTTACTCACACACTTAGTTAATGATTAGACTTATGTACTTACATTTTTTATTTTAAGTATTTAAAGTTTTAAGTATTTGTCATTATAATGGGTTATATATTTGAGTTGGAGCAGTCAGTAACCATTTTAGGTGTCGTCGTGTCCAAATAAAAGTTGAAGCATGGTGACAGAAAGCTCCTCTGCCTTTTTATAAACATATTAACATGTAAGGACAACATCTCTCCCTATGGACCAATGTATTTGTTATTATTGCATTTCCTGTTTTTGAACTGTTTACATAATAACCAAACTAACAACAAGGGTTAGAGGGTTGGGTGGGATCGTTAGCCCTAGTAGGACCATTAGACCTGCTCCCCCACATCTTAGCAGACCTTAGATGTCTTAATGAGTTAGCCTCGGGATCAGGGGTGTCGAACCACACCCACAGGTTATAAATCTCCAACTCGCAGCTGGGCTTTAATTTCCTTGAGAACGTACTTTGGATTAAGAACAAAAAGCCGGGATAACCTGCTAACTGAAGTACGGATGATGGGTGCTGTTTTGATTTACGGCAATACATGCATCAAAATGGGCGACAGTAGCTCAGTTGGTAGAGCATTGGCCTTTGGGCCTGAAGGTCGTGGGTTCGAGCCCACCATAAGACCTACTTCACGACTCCCACTGATGACTGCTGTCTTTGTGTCCTTGGGCAAGACACTTAACCCTACTTTGCCCCAACCGAAAGATCTCAGCTCCTGTGGACTCACCACCTGCAGGAGGATCAGTGAGGGGCTGGTGCTCTGTAGACTGGGTGCAGCTCTGACTGCCACCCCCCCGACCAAGAAATGGATTAAGGGGAAGAAAATGAATGGAAAATGGATGGATGGACATGCATCAAAATAATGGAACTGAATCCTAGATAGGTTACTATTTAAATTTTGAATACAATACATTTTTTTAGTCGAGTAGTCAGGAGCCATCTTGTCTGGCAGCCCAAGTGCAATCACATTAAAATAACAAAAATAAACCTATATTTGTTTGGACAAATTTGAAAAAAATCGTAGCAAATTAATGTCACCAATAATTCTTGCATGCACAGGTGAAACTCTGAAAATTAGAATATAGTTAGGTTTAATAAATAGGTTTAAAAATCTACTTACTTCTATAATTTAACTCACAATATGAAAATGATATATGACAGTGGGTTATATCAATCCTTTATCTTATTTAATGCTGAGAATTGGCTCACAGGTTGTAAAAAAAAAAAATCTCAGAAAGCTAGTAATCATCAACATTATAACAAACAAAGGCCCAGGTTACTGCAGATGTACTGAGTCAATATCATTTATCAGTGTCACATTTTAAGTTGAAGTAGATAAACTTTCACCTGTGTGTTGTAGCTGAAGGAGCGCTGCTGAAGCTGACCCAGGGTCTGAAGGACGAGTCCATGGCCTTCATCTACCACTGCCAGAACCACTACTTCTGCCCTGTGGGGTTCGAGGCCACGCCCCTGAAGGCTGCCAAGGCCTACCGGTGAGAGACCACTCCGTTTACAAACCAAAGATTTAACAGCAGTTGGTGTCAGTGAATTCAATTGACAAATAAAAGCTAAGTGTAAAAATTAGTCTTTTTTGTTCAATATTTCTGTGTAAGATATTTCCCCACCAAGAGACAGAAAAGGTTCTCCTATCTCAACTTAGAGGATTAAATAAACTTTTCTGAGATTTTTACTTGGAATTGTTTTGATGATCCGGGACAATTTAAGGATATTTATGCTTGTTTGAATGTTTTCTTTTGTAACAATTTCAAGCATTACAGTCTAAAACATTAACTGCTGAGTAAAGTAAATACTGATTGATTTTGCATTGGTTTTTCCAGGTGTCGACCTTTAATACCTTTTAGTGAATTAACTAAAATGACATTGACACTAATGTGATTATGTCTTTCAAGGGGCTCATTACCAACAGCAGAGATGGAGCACTGGATTCTGATTGGAGAACCCAGCAGAAAACACCCAGCCATTCATTGTAAACGGTAACTGCTTTTACTTCAAGAGACCTAATGCTTTGCGCAATTATTATTATTTTCCCTCGTCCAAATCTCTGTATTCCTGTATTTTGTGGTTGTCAGTTTCGCAATTCTCACACAAGACAGTTCCCTCTTCTGGGATTGAAACATAGAAGTTGTCTCATAATAAATGAACAATACATGTGTAAAGCATGAAATACCAAAAGAAACTTGTACAATATCTTCCAAACACTTTTTTGACCTTACGTTTAGTCCTTGAATTATTAGGAAACTTCTGAATCTGAATTAAACAGAACTCTCTCTCGCCCATTTGGACATACAGTACAAAATCATTTAAGATAAGATAAGAAAGACTATTGATCTCACAATGGAGAAATTTACAATCACTCAGATTGTGCAAAAAGACAGAAATGTGCAACATGTTAGGGTTGAAATTATAGTCTGTGCAGGAAATGACACAATAAAAAAGTGGCAATAGCAGTGCTGGTTCTTCAGTCCCAGTACAGGTCATTAGTGACTTAAAGTGACTTATTGTGCAGTCTGACAGCGGTGGGGATGATACGAAATTTCTCCACTGTGGGACGAATAAAGGAACTCTTATCTCTTACAACTATTTTTTAGGAGGATGAAACATGGGGACAGCTGCCAAAATATTACATCTTTTGACCAGGAACTGCTTCTTACAATGCTGCCTGAAACTGGAAGCCACAGACAGGAGCCTTCCTTCGTAGGTGACAGAGAGAGAAAAATCTTGTTTTACTTTATTGTGTTTTGTTTTCAGGTGGCTGGATATCGTCACGGACCTGAGCACACAAAACCCTGATTTCTTGGACATTCGTCACTTAGAACGGGGGATCCAGCATCGCAAAACCAAAAAGGTATATATTGGTCTCTCTCTGATCTGTCTCTGGTCTCTCTAGGGTCCCTCTCTTGTCTCTTTCTCTATGGCCTCTCTCTCACTTGTCTGTCTCTCTCTCTCTCTATGGCTTTTCTCTCACTTGTCTCTCTCTCTGGCCTCTTTCTCACTTGTCTCTCTCTCTCTCTCTGGCCTCTTTCTCACTTGTCTGTCTCTCTCTCTCTGGCCTCTTTCTCACTTGTCTGTCTCTCTCTCTCTCTGGCCACACTCGTTATCATGAAAATATAACTTAATACGATAATGTAATAGTTGTTGCTATAGTAGATACTAGACCCAAAACCAGGTGGATACACAAGAGAAGACATTTAATGACACTCAACAGAGTACACACAGGTATAAACAAGAAAATATGCATACCACAGAGGGAGATTCTGTGGAATTAGAAGCACCTTACACCAGTGGTTCCCAAAGTGGGGGTCCCGACCCCCCGGGGGGTCGCGGGAACCCCTGGGAGGGGTCGCAAGATGATTTCCACAAAAAAAAAATATATTTTAGGGCAGCGGAGGGAGGGAGGACAGCGGTAGAACAGCGCGTTAAAGAGGCCCGGCTTTTCGGAGTCAAAGGTAAAGAGGTCCGCACATTAAAAGCGGGTGGCAGCTGTATGCTGTTACTGACAGTAACTTTGGAAAGAGAAGCCGCGGGGATGAACCGCATAAAGTAACAGCAGAAAGCGGCCGCCCGCTTTTAATGTGCAGACCTCTTTACCGCTGACTCCGGAAAGCCGGGCCACTTTACCGCGGTAGGAGAACAGTGAGGGCGAGCCGCATGAAATGCGCTCCACTTCTGCTGAGGAGGGAGCCCACCAAGCCCATCACTGTGTCACTACATGAGTAAAAATATGCAAACCTCCTTTTTTGGGCTGGACAGTGCAGCTCGGTAGTGGCGTGAGTCTCTAGAAAGCGTTACTCCGTATCAAGGAAATACATGCTCATTTAATGTGACTGAAGGGCTGTTGGGGGAGGGGTCGCGGGCTAAAAACTTTGGGAACCCCTGCCGTACACGACACGTCACTTCTGCTAATGTTTGGGCCATTGATTTAAATCGGCTGACATCTTGGAGACCCGGGGCTTGATAGAACTTAAAATCATCCAAGAAATATGTTTTTTTTCTATGATCCATTGGTCTATTAGTCTCTCTTTTGAATATATTGCTGAAAGTGAGGCTCTGAACACCACCAATAATGTGATCTCATTGTCACATTTACCATTTCTAAACCGCTCTATTCTCTCCGTGTGCCTCAGGTGGGGGGAAACCTTCACTGCATCATCGCCTTCCAGAAGGTGAACTGGCAGAAGCTCAGCCCCTGGGCTCTGAACCTGGAGACCCTACGGCACGACTTCCACCAACAGGGCGCGGAGGGGGCGGCGGGCGGCAGCAGCGACGATGAGCGAGCCAACAAACGTCTGTCTCACCTGGGACGGTCCAACAGCACGGGCTCGCACCAGGACCAGGGCTGGAGGCGCCCTCAGCACGCGGACTTCAGACAGAGGTCCCCTGACAGCGACTTGGAGGAGGACAGGATGGACTGAGACACAAACACTGGACTTTGGTTATAGCCATGCGCGGCTAACTATTCAGCACACCGATTTTGGCCTCTGCGCGGTGTAAACAGTCGATAGAAAGTGCTTAAAACCCAATTTGCTCTAATACAGTGAGTACATTTATACGGTACATTTGCGAGATCAAGTCTAGTCTATTTAAGATAACACTTTAGAATAGCCCTAAGTAATTAACAGATAAGTGCTAATTAGCGCACTCTAACCCTAACTGTAACCCTCGCCCTAACCCAAATGGGAAAGTGTCAGTTAGTAGTTAGCTAAAAGTTGAATAATGCCATATCGAGTAAGGGAAAATGAGTGCTAAATAAATATTTCAATTCAATATATTTGTGTATATAGCTCTACATCACAACAGTAGTTATCTCAGAAGACTATACAAAATTGTTGTTTCGGCAACACAAAAACCCAAATAACCATAAATTATAGACTATTAGCACCTATATTAGCTGTTAATTGGCGAAGGCTAGATTTGATTTTAGTAAGGTTAATAAAAACCTGGGCACCAATTAAAATATGAAATTCCAGTCAGTTTGGTGTAACTGGATCGAACCATTTCCACCTACACTGGATACCACAGCGTAGGGGGAAGCGTTGCGTATTTTAGTAATGTGCGGATTTGCCGCATTTAGGAAACTCAATCATTTCTTTGCCTTTGTTTTGTTACATGAGGCGCTGGAAACATGATTTGATTGCGCTGGAGTAATCAAATGACTTTGTTTCAGCCGTTTTTATCATCATTTATAAAAAATATTACAATATTGAAATATAATAATATATTTCATTATTATTCACTTTGTTTCTTCTTTATTTTACGCTCAAATTCTATTGGTCTAATTATAAAATAAATAAAAGGAAGGTTTCTCACCCATCATCTGTACTTCTTAGCAGGTTTCTTAGCAGGTACTTCTTAGCATGGGAAAACCTCAGCTTTCTTAGCCAACTATGTATTATTTGTAAACGTACTCATTGTCCCTCCAGCGTGTGCTCCACAGGTCTCTTCCAGGGTTTCTATAAGATCTCTTTATCATGGTATAATACCAGTTATCCTACTATCTATCCCTAATTCAGGCCCACTCATAGTACAAGTGCTGCTCCTGCCCAGAAGTCAGTTTAGGCCAGGCGTAATTTAACTTTCCAGGATCTTTATCTGAAACATTGTAGGCTGCTATTCATATTCAACCTAAAAACAGTTTTGCTGCTTGAAAAATTAGTTGCACAAGAGCCTAAAATTGGGGCGAAATGTGTGTAATAGAGTCTCTCTTGTTATAGAGGCTGAATGTAAGCTGCTGTCTACTGCAGGTGTTAGAATATTTTTTTCAATGAGGTTTCTCTAGCTCAAAGCTCACATTTATACTAACATATCTATTAAAACAAGATGTCTTTGTTTTGGTCCTAGTTTGAATCAGCAAAAGTAATTCCTAATCTGTTATGTCTTATCATTTGTTTCTTGTATGTCTATGTTTGACTGTTATTTACACATTTCAATGCATTTATGTATATATTTTAGAACATTCATGACTTTCTGTGCCATCCCTACCTGTGTGTTTGAGAGCTGCAGGGATGAAACAAATGCTTGTAAAGAGATGTACATACAGTATGTGCATGAAAGTATTGCAGAGATTTGGATCGATATAAACTGTACGCACCAAAGGAGGTGTCTCGTTACGTTATCTGTAAAATGTCTCGTTCATGTCATGTACCATGCCTTAAATCGGTGTGTTATATGTGGACAAAACCAGGAACAAGTGATGATTTGACATACAGACTGTTTTGCATTGGGAAAGTCATTGGTTTTCTCCAGTGTTCAGGGCTGCTCAGAGTGGTTAAGACAACTCTGTATATACTTTATGTATCTTCAGCATTCATAAACATCAGCATATTGTAATGTTCTCTTGTTTTATAATTACAATGTTTAATTAAATAGACTGACAGAGACCAGTTCACTTCTGTCAACTGTCAATTTAAAAGTAACTGCTAAAATATTGGATTCACTCACTGTTTGTTCATGTTTGAAGAGAGTTTAGATACAACACTATGGTCTCTCTTGGTTAGCTTGATACAGAGGGTCTCAAAGGGTCCTCTAAGTGCCTGTGTAGCTGCAGGTTTTCACTCCAACCAAGCAGGCGCAGACCAGACTCCACCCATTTCCTCAAGAGAGTCCAGTCTTAGCCTGAAATACTTGACGAAATGGGTGGAGTGTGGTGTGCTCCTGCTTGGTTGGAATTATTTATTATTATTATTGATTAGTTATTCCAATGTGGTTTTACTACAAATGGCAAATAAACAGAATATGAAATTTGGAAGGAAATCCTGCCGCCACACTGGCCCTTTGAGGAACCGGTTGGACACCTCTGGCTTCATATATCTTTGAACTAAAAACCAAATGTAAACTGAAATATAAAAGGTATCAGATGCTAAATCAAATATTCACACCTTTTTACAATGTTATAGATGCAGTTTTAATTCCCAAATCTCTTCTACGTGTGTAAACCTGTCTTTTTATTGTCTATCAATATTGAGAGTTTTGACTCAATTCTATCCTGGGTGATTGTTCTGTTTTTTAAAATCTGCTTTCCTTGCCTTTAAATTTACCCATTTCCCACCAGCATTGCATGTATGTTATCTGGCTTAAAGTGTTATTTGTCACTTTTTGGAAATGATCAGGAAATATTAACTTTACTGTAGTGTTTTGATACCGGCCTCAGCCAACAGGGGGCGTTAAAGGGACATTTGAGTTGGCTTGAAGGATTCAGCTATAACCCTTTTACTACTCATAAATCATATCTGGTCTGATATTGTACAATAACGTATCTTCTGCCAGTTTGTGCCGTGTGTGATGAGCTTCTCCAGTCGCTAGTGCTGTGAAGTTGTTGTGAAAGACTTTTTCATGTGGTTTGTGTAAATCTGTTCCACCAAAAATATAAAACTGTCAGGAAGAAATGGTTCCAAAACCTAAAAATGCAGGTTGAAATGTGTTGTTACGATATCTGAGCTTTTGTTCTCATCTGTTACGTATTTGTTTATTTATTTTTTTCAATAAAGTTAGATTTTCATAAATAGATCAAACTTTGTATTTTTTTATTGGTGGAAATACATGAATGTGATACAAGTGCAGACATACAAACAAATACAATATGAGAACAACAGAGGTAGGTGTGTGTGTGTGTATCTTTCTCTATGCCGCTATCAATCTGCCTATACCGTGTGTCTCTCTCTGTGGATATTTATCTCTCTCTGTGGATATTTATCTCTCTCTGTGTCTGTCTCTCAGTCTTTGTCGGTCTCTCTTTTTGTGTTTCTCTGTATTTGTGTGTCTCTCAGTCTCTCTATGTCTCATATCTCTGCTCTGGGTCACAGTATCTCAGTCTTTCTATTTCACTCTCTGTGTGTGTCTCTGTCTCTCAGTCTCTCTCTGTTTCTCTGTATCTCAGTCTCGCTGTGTCTGTCTTTCTCTCTCTGTGTATGTGTCTCTCTCTGTCTGACTTTGTCTTGTCTTATCAGTTTCATCCATCCATCCATCCATTCATCCACCACCCTCTTTACTCTTCCTTCTTTCTGTACAAATATGCATGTCTCAGTAGGTGCATTAAAAAGCACCCCGTGGGAGCATGTCCACATCTCACATCTCTCTCCTGTATCCCTAGCTCTGTTTGTCTGAAGGTTTCTGTTTTAATATTTGGTGTAACTTTGCGATTTCCTCTGGCCCGACGCGGCAGCAGCCTCCTGAAAGAAAAGTCGATCACGAGCGCAAATTCACAATGTGGGTTAGGAATAGGGTTCTTGAATAGAAGATTTCTTACCGATTAACCCTGCGCCTTGCCTCCTCCAGATTTCACAGAATTGAGAAAGTGATCCTGTTTTCTTCTCTTGAGCCAGCCACCTTCAAATATAAGAACTTAATTTAAATCATTGTTTTAAAAGGTGCATTGTGAAACCGTCCTGGTGGTACATGCTTTTAGTGAAGTGGTCTGATACCTGCTTTTTGCCAGAGATACATAAGGTATACTCACTGATGATTTGTAATATTTCCATTTGTTTAATTTGCTACAGCCCTAATATTTGTAGATCTATGTTATGTCACATAACAGATACAGAGAGATAATGATTCATACCCCTTGTGTGTGTCCCACTGCTCTCCGCTGTTGGGATAGACCACCCAGCTCAGCTCCGGCTTCAGTTTGGTTTTGGCCGAGTCCAGAACTGGCTCCACCAGATCTGGGGAACAACAGTTCACTCCCACAGCCACAATCTGGGGGTTTTTCAGAGCCACCTGAACCGCTCCGGAAAACAGGCTACCGTCCGAAATGCACTTCTCATCCTGCAAAAAGGAAAGCGTGTAGTTGCCATGACATCAAGATCTTGAAAATAACATTCATACAACATAATACTGTCAAAAGAATTTGTTTATGTTATCATATTAAATTAATGTGTTTAACATTAACCTATAGTAATTTGGGCCTTTACCTTTGGAGTATGGAAATGTACTGTGAGAGCAGGAGATCCCACCCTAGCCTCAAGGGGCTCAGTGGAGTCTTTGTAACAAAAGGTTAATGTTTATATGTGAACAAAAAGGTGTTTTGCAAGAACCATTGTGCTTTGTTCCTCTGTACACATGTGTGACTATATTCTTCAATAAAGCAGGGCCAGTGGTGACTGGTACGGACAAGCAGGAGGTTGTGATTGCTGCATCCAAATACTCCATCTCAGTCATTACTCCTTGCCTTGTACCACAAAGAAACTGATAGAAACACACTGCTGGCTTCCAGTCTCCATCCCACTCCCTTGAAAAAAGGCCTAACTATTAGTCAGTTTCTCCATTTGAAAAGGATTTGTCACACCGGTGGCACAGTGGCTGAGTGGATAGCACTCTCGCTTCTCAGCAAGAAGGTCCTGGGTTGGTATCCCGGTCGGAACAGGGTCTTTATCAGGAGGGATCTGTCCTATCAGGCCGCCCTGTTATACATCAATCAATCAATCAAATTTTATTTATGAAGCGCTTTTCATACAAAAGATGCAACACAAAGTGCTTTACAGTTTGGTTAAAAACAATCCCGCCGGCCCATGTCCCCTCCCCCCGACCACCCAACAGACCCATCCCAAACCACAGACAAACGCACACACGCTCCCATGCACACTCTCTGACACACACACACACACACACACGCTCCCATGCACACTCTCTGACACACACACACACATACACGCTCCCATGCACACTCTCTGACACACACACACACACACACACATGCACACTCTCTGACACACACACACACACACACGCTCCCATGCACACTCTCTGACACACACACACACACACACACACACACACACACACACACACACACACACACACACACACACACACACACACACACACACACACACACACACACACACACACACACACACACACACACACACACACACACACACACACACACACACACACACACACACACACACACAAAACAGTAAAACAATGATGAGAGACTTGGCAGGGTTCGGATGCAACCAGTTGAAAAAGCGTCATCCAAGGAGCCGTCTGCACCAGGAGCAGAGAGCCGCCTGTAGCCACAGGGGACGACACAGGATCTAGAGGAGACCCGAAACCGAGGCCCCAGGCCCCCACCAGGTCCAAGAGTCCGACCCCCACAGCCACACCGACCACTGCTCCCAGTGCAGAGGGCTCCTCCAGAGGAAACACTGGGTACACTAAAAACAATATAATAACAATACAATATGTAAAACACAAAACTGTGAAACTAAAATGAAACTAAAATGAACTAACACACAATACATGAATAAAAGCAATAGCAATACAATAAATAATAGAGGATAAATAGAATATATAAAATGAAATAGTAAAAACTAATCAAAAGCTAATCTAAAAAGGTGCGTCTTGAGCCTGCTTTTAAAAACATGCATGCCATGATTTTTTCACATCTGTCCTACTGCGTCACATCCTGGTCACAAACCTCCCCGTCCACACTCAAGCCGGTTGTTTCATTGTACAAACAGGCAGTCAAGGTATTTGACAGAAAACCTATGAGATGGCATCACTGTGACATCATCCATAGACATAATCTTTTTACTTTCGAAAACTTTATACATTTTAGTATTCTGAAATTGGTTTTTAAATGTTTGAACAGTCGTGTGTCGCCGCTGTTTTCCGCTCTCATTATTCGGCGTCAGGACTCCCGCAGACCCTCCACCAGAGCCTCGTTGAGTGGGGACTGTGTTCTCCCAAAATTTACAAAATCTTTTGGACAGTCCAGTTTCTCTTTTAATGGATCCAGACTGTGGAACTCTCTGCCCACTGATTTAAAACTGCAGACTGACATGAACAGTTTTTACAGAGGTCTGAAACAATGGCTGAAGTCAAGTCAAAACTGCTCACATGGTAACACTGTATGAAATGTATACTGATGATGTGTAATTGTGTATTGTTTACCTTTTTAAATATTGTACTGTATTGTATTGTGTTTTTTGAAATGTGTAGCCTCCTATGGACAGGTGTTGCAAATTAGCAGTTTTGCTATAACACTGGAAACAATGTATCTGGTTTGTCCAATGCAGTTGATATGTCCATATCAAATAAACTAATAATAATAATAATTTCTGAGTGGACTTTGCATGTTCTCCCCGTGTCTGCGTAGGTTTCCTCCAGTTTCCCCTACCACTAAAAACATGTACAATAGGTCTGGCAGGCGCCTCCTGTACTGGCGACCCCGCACCCATCTCTGTGTGGAGTGAGAGAGAAATGCCCAAAAACAACAATTGTAAACCGCTTTGTGACTCTGGTCTGTGAAAGGCGGTATATAAATAAAGATTACTTACTTACACCACTGAAAATTACATTGAACAAGCCAAAGACTTGAAAGTTAGATTTTTGAAACAAGGGTATCCTTTGTCTTGGGTGGATTATGCTTTTGAGCGTGCACAAGCCTCGCTCAGCAAGAAACAAAAAAAGGTAATCTTGTCACCTGCATCATACAATTTTCAACCCACACTCCAGCCATCAAATGTACATTTCTTAAGCACTGGCACATGTTGACATCAAATCTCTAGCACTTTTAAAGACTTCCCTCTTTTTGTAAGTAAACAGGGACAAAATCTGAGGGATTGTCTGGCGGACCGTTACAAGTCCACCAAAGGAATCCTCACAAATACTGCTATAACCTATTCCTACTGGTAACTACCGCTGTGGCTCCTGTGCTCAGTGTGACTATAACAATTCACTTTCTTTGCACCCCCACACTGGTAAGAAATTCCAGTGTGATCACCTGTACATCCACACATGTCATTTAAAGTGCCCATGTGGTCTGGCTTATAATGGTAAGACCATTAGGAAATTAAAACAGAGAATCAGTAAGCATAAGAGCACCATCCGTAGGAACGACAGAGACAACCCTGTAGCTATTCATTTTAATGACCATAACCACAACATCAGTGCACGACAAAATTCTGTGGCATTGAGCAGGTCCCGCCTCCACCCAGAGGAGGAGACCACGGCCTGTTGCTCCAACAGAGAGAGACTTACTGGATCCACATACTACAGACTCTAGCTCCAAAAGGCCTGAATGACAAATTTAATTTACGCATATTTTTATAAAAAAATTTCAGGTCATTTTAGGAGGTAATGTTGTCAATATGTTTTTTATATAGTAGTATGTGTATATGGTGAAATGAATAGGACACTTTCTCATTGCCTGGTGACTTTATGCACATCCTATATATTCAGAACTCCTTCAATTTTTGACTTGTATTATAAATGTATATTGTATTTTCTGTATCTTTTTTATTGTATTTATGACTGTTTTCACCTTTCTGTGAAATGCTCTGTGAGTGTGGTGGCTGTACACCGTTGGGCGCCTGCTCCACCTTATTTGAAGATGACTTCCTAGTGCACTTTTCATATTTGTTTGATGAAGGCGTAATGCTGAAACGTTGCACTCCTAATTAAACAATATTATGCAAGAAAGACAGTATACGGGAATAATGATCTTTATTCAACTATTTCAAAAAAAAACAAAAAGTTGGATTTCTATTCTTACCATCAAGTACCAAGACTAAAGCCAACTTACTTATCTATCCTTGTAGATATTACCCCTGCATGGTTCCATTGTATACAAGTTTTAAGTAGTAAAACAGTAAACCAAACCATTATGAGAGCAAGGAACAAGTTGACTCGCATTCATTTGATTTAATACATACAGTAGCTAATGATTATTTTGTGGTATGAAAGTCATTTACCCCAGCTTTAATAATGAAGAGATTTGTACAAAGAGCTCCTCACTGTCAGTCTCTGCAGCAGGTTGTTTTTTACCTTGCAGGAGAAGGAGAGCCAGGCGTTGGTGTTGGGGAACTCTCTCAGCAGCTGAACCAGAGCCTCGGCTTCTCTAACACTGGGAATCGTCTCAAAGGCGATGATGTCTGCTCCTGCTGCGGTCAAACACGCCAACTGAGGACGGTGCCACGACATCAGATCCTGAAAATAACATTAAAACAGTTGAGAGAGAAGACTGAGGCACTCAAGAGTTACACAAATCTTTAAAATTCTTTACTTAACATGGCAAAAGAAGTTAAAAATACGAATAAAGCAAACAAAAATAACAAGTACTAATAAGTAAGGAACGTTTTTAGTGGTAGGGGAAACCGGAGCACCTGGAGTAAACCTACACAGGGAGAACATGCAAAAATCTGAACCTCCTGATAGAAAAGCCCTGTCTGGAGGTAGAATCGAAGCACTCACCAAGCCGACAAGTATATTATGTTATCAAGTCATCTCTCAGCAAAATACAATAATATAAAAGGTAAATGTTATCAGTAAAAAATAGTGTGAAATAAGAAAGTAATCTGAGGGCTGCATTCAACTCCAGGGCAATAGTTTGGACACCACTGATCAAAATCTACACCCAAAGATCAAAGATATTGAAGTTGAGCTCCAGTTGAGATGGACCTCACCTCCACGTTCATGTTTACAGCATAGTCCCCTGTGTATTCAGATCCATCGTGAAGAAAGGCGCCATACGGTCCAATAGAGCCAGCCACCGATCCATGTCTCGGCTCTATGAAATTAATCAATGTTAACTACTGCAAGTTTATATGTATACCACAGTCCATACACAAGGAAACTCAAAGTGCTGAACAAAACAAGACACGCTCGAGAAAACAAGAAACAATCAGAAAAGGCATTAAAATTATCATCAATCACATTAAAAGGAGTAAAAATAAAATCCTTTAGTTGTATGCACAGATACAATAGAGCTCAGCAAGACCGTTCCAGATTTTAGATGTGGCTGTTAAAATGTAGTATATTCATATAGCATATTTACCATCTTTATTTTCAGATTGAAATTTCTGCAATGCGTCTTTTGCCAGATGGACACCAGACATCAGCAGCTCTCTGGCCCGGTCACAGGTCACTCCTAAGTGTTGGACAAATCCTTCCACACTAGCCTGGTATGTGGCAGTGGATATGACATTGCTGCCGCTGAGAAGAAATCTGTAAAATGTAAAATAGATCAATATGGGTCAAAATGGGTCACTATCACATTGGATTGTATTGAAAACCTGTAATGGGCATCTTTAATCGCTTCAGGGTCTGTGTGCAAAAGTCTGGCACTCCACAATGGATCCCCCTATAGTGAAACAACACAACAGGTACACTTATATGATTGTTCTGTCTCCAGTTTCAGTAACTGTTTACCACTGTTTCATTATAATTTTGTACATTGTGAATCATTTCTTATATAAGCTAAAAACAGTTAAGATTACATTTTCATCAATTAGTTTACTAACTTTAACGCCCTTGAAGTTGCTATTTATTGGTCGGGGTTGCTAGTTTGTCATCTTGTTTTGTTAGGCACTTTGTGTTGCCTTGTGTATGACCTGTGAGCAAATAAGGCAGATAAACTACGCATCCAACAACAGCAAGTGAAAACTGTACGTTGATGTTTCTCCCTAAATTTAACAAATATATTGCACGTTGGGAAATGATTGGTGCACAGTATTATTTTGGTTGAAGTAGCAAGTAACATTCATAAACTTATCACTTTTTACCCCAAGCTCGAATCCTTGTGCTTCCAGATGAGTTGAAAGACCACCATCCAATATTAAAGGTATATTATCGTTAATGCAATCTCTCCAAGAAACAGAAGAACACATTGATGAACAGATTCATAAACTATACTAAAAGGACGTCTTTAAAGTTTAAACCCTCTAGGTTTACATTTACAGTGATAGACGAGATTTTTCCTGGATCTTTCTGGTGTTGTTGTTGTGGTTCCGGGTAAGAAATGTTGCGTTCGTTATAACTCGGATTTTAACTATTTTAATAATTATACACCAGTAGATGGCGCAAAAAGACCTTATAGGGAAATGCACGCAGCTTTGAAAGTGTCTAATAGAAACGTGCAAAGCGTAGGCTACACCTTGAAATGTACCTTTTATGAGACAAGGTCTCATTTTAAGATGAGTTTGAGGCCTATTTAAGATATGTTTGAGGCTATTTAGGACAAAAATGTCAATTAAAATGGAAAGGAAAGATAAGGAAGGAGGGACATTGCGGATGTATTCAGCGGTAGCCATAGAGTAGTTAAAATTGTTTCTCAATTGTTCATAAGAAAATACTCATTTATTAAATTATATTTTTTAACTGCAGAAATTATCTACAAAAAACTCGAATTAACCAGTGTTACATGAACGCCCCTTGGCTGGCCAGTACAGTTGCCATAGTAACTCTTCCATAGAGCGCAAAGTTAGCGGCTAGTTAGCTTAGAGATAAACCCAAAACATGACCCCCTAACACAACACAGAGCAGATTTACACATTTTCAGACATGGTGAGTGCTACTTCTTTGCTGCATGATTCATTGCACGTCAATATTGTTGCACATGTGCGCGTGTTTGCTAACTTAGCCTAGCATAGCCTGAATGCTTATCATATTTAATATAGCTACAGTAACTTTTCTGCAGCTGATAGGATACGTTGTCTATTTTATGCTTAGCTAACATATTGAGAGAACAGAGGCATTTGACTGCTTGTATTTTTCTGCGAAGTAATGTTTTGAAACCTATAATGAGTACATCAGTATCCTTACCTTAAACCTAAATTATTTTATTAGCCTGATATTACATGCAAAACATGACCAACTAGCTTACATGTTTTTGGTTATTGTTTTAATTTAATACCGTTTTCTAGTAATTGTATACAAAACCTGTATATATAAATAAATAAAGCTCATTATTATTTATTATATCCTTTATAACGATTACAGTTAAAAACATTAGTTACAGCTTTGTACCATAAAAGCCTGCCTTCTATCAGTAGTTATACAGTGGCTTCAGTGAATGCTATGGTAGTATATTCAATATTAGCCATTATTATTGTAAATATTGTTAGCAAATAACTGCTATTCCAAACCACTAGTGACCTAATCCATATGATATTGTACATTGTACGTGCACTGCATGTACATACATTGTTTATACTTCAGCTAAAGAATGATGGTGTATCTTGTGCTTCATCTTGTGTTGAGTGAGTGCTATTCCTCTTCTACTGTTCTGTACTGTGCAATGCATCACTGACAGTTCCTTGTACTGTTGGAGGAACAAAGGTTGTCTTATTCTGGACACACAGATGGCATGAAGTGTGCCAGTGAATTGGATCATATCACATATTCTTGCCATCATCATAATAGTGTTGCCGGACAAATACCGCTGGGTTGCGTTACCAAAACCGTTGCCAGCAGTTTAGTCATTACACAGGCATGCATAAAGAGGAAGCTGGTCTGCCATTGTTTTCACCAGACACTCTGCCTGTGCAAACTGTCTCTTACATCACTTTAAACCAACACCACAATTTAGTTTCATATAGCTCTTTAGAATATGCTTTCACAATTCAATGGAAAAGTATCTTGAAATAATACTGGAAAATGCTTATTGTTGTCTGCTTTTTTGCATATTACAGTACGACATTTTAATTCATACTAGGTTCTGTCTAGATTTTAAGCTCAACATTTTTTGATATATGTGTTGTAATTGTTATTCACATTTGCTACTAAATCAGGTTAAAATCCAGGTCAAAACAGTTCTCTTAACCTGTGCATAAAACCTAAGGATTGTATGGTCGCTCTTTTCATCTACTGTGATTATTTATAATTCTAATGCCTTGTATTATTGCTAGGGGTGGGAACCTAAGGGTACCTCACGATACGATACGATACACGATACAAAGCTCACGATAACGATATTACGATAACGATTTTATCACGATATGACGATTATTGATATATTGGTCAGAAATTTATTTATGCCATAAATTGGCATATTGTATATGTATATATATATATATATATATGTATATAAGAAAATATACTCTTTATTTCATGATAAATAGAATGGAGATGCGTAATGTAGCCATATATTAAGTATTGATACCAATTATAAAAAATATATATATATATATTTTTTTTTTCAAAAATTGATATCGATACTTGGCAAATGCATATCGATAATCGAATCGCGGGAGAAAGTATCGCCACACCCCTAATTATTGCCTCTATCTTGTTTTGTTAAACACTTAAAGTTGACTTGTTATGATTTGTTCTGTACAAATAAACTTGCCTTGGCTTGCCTGAACATTGGAATACATGTTATACTTATTTTCTTGTGTGTGTTTTCCAGGAGGACCGGTTTGCGTTTTTGGCTGAGTGGTACGACCCGGTGGCTGGTCTCCTTCGGAAGTACCAACTGTTCTTCTACTCCAGTGACAGCTCTGTGGAAATGGTGATCAGGACTTCTCTTCTCTGATAGTAAAATAGATCCACTACATTGTACATTATATTTCCTTGTATATAAGTCATGTATTACTACTGTAGTTGAAAAGGAAAATTATCCCTTTTGGCTGCAGCATTTTGATAGAATTATTGGTGCGTTTTGTGTCCCACAGTATGATGTGAAAAACCAGAGAGTGTTCTTGAGACGGACAAAATATGAAGACCTGCACATGGACGACCTGTTTGTGGGAAACAAAGTCATCGTCTTTTCACGACAGCTCAACCTGATTGACTACGGAGACCAGTTCACGGCTAATAAACTCGGGAGCAAAAAGGAAAGGTGCCAAAGTAACCTTAATGTGATTCTTGACCTGTGTCTTGACCTGTCCATTCATGTAACTATGGCTGATCTTCATTGTTGTTGCCTCATCAAAATCATATCTGCTGCACTTACTTTTATAATAATAACAATGATGCATCGGTTTTCTATAGCGCTTTTTTGGACACTCTAAGACGCCTCACATGTCATTATTCATTCACTCTGTACACGGTGGTGATAAACTTCTACCGTAGCTACAGCTGCCCTGGGGCACACTGACAGAAGTGAGGCAAAAAGTATGTTCCATCAACCTCTGCGACCACCACCAACCACTCTCACACCAGACTCATTCTAGGCAATGTGGGTGAAGTCCCTCAAGAGCTCTGAAACTAAGCAGGGTAGGACATGGTTAGTACTCTGATGGGAGACCTCAGGAAACAGTTGGTCCTACATTAAAACGGATGCATCTGTAAAATGCTGAGCTGTTGTTGTGTCCTTAGGCAAGACACTTCACCCACGGAATGAGTCTGGTGTGTGTGAATGGTTGGTGGTGGTCCGAGGGGCCAATGACACATACTGGTTGCCTCATTACTGTCAGTGTGTCCAGGGCAGCTGTGGTCACGATAGTAGTTTATCACGACCATATATGGAGTAAGAGAAGAATGACATATCATGGCATATAAGCTATATAAAACTAATGCATTTGTATTATTATTATCATTATTACTAATAAAGTGAGAATAATTAACAATACAGTAACTAGTAATCTCAAAGTCTGTAAATTTGAAAATAGTGCCCCTCTGTTCTCTGAGTGGACTGAAAACAAACAAGCCTCCAAAAGACTCCAACAAAGGACTAGTAAAGTTCTACATTTAAGCTTATTAAGCAAATGGATCAACTTGAACTTATATTTCTAAGTCATTAGTTTACATTTTGTATTTTTGCACGGTATTTCACACCTCACCACACAGGATAGAAACAAACATCAAATAAAACCCTACTGGACCAATCTGATTAACATGTAAGTGGTTGAAGAGGATTTCTCAAGAACACAAGTTCACATCATACCTGTCAAAACTCCCATGATTCTAGTGGATTATATTAGTCTAACTATCTAATTTTTACAACATTGACTGGTTAATTCAAGCCCTGGCCACTTTGAAATACAACACCAGATTTGACCTTTGATGAACAGAGGAAGGAAGCTTTCACGGCTAAATTATTTCCAATTTACCTGCAACAGGGCCAAACACACAAGATTCAATCATTGTTTCCAAATTCAATTACAGCATACAAACATTGAATACCCTTTGAGTTCATATATTTAATGTTGTGATCAGTGATTTATTATTACGCGTTTTATCAACAACAAACCAAACAGAAGGATCTTGCTTGAGCCATTGTTATTATTATCTTTTGTTTTTTTATGTACAGAGTCTGATGCCAAGCTGTTTATCTGCTCTTCTTCCAGAACACTGGCTCTGATAAAACCAGACTCCGTGACGAGGATCGGAGATGTCCTTGAGACCATCTACGGCTCTAATTTGATTGTGACCAAAGCCAAGATGGTGAAGCTAACCTGGTGAGTTCTTCTAAGACCATATAAGTACGGCGGAATATTTACAAAAA